CATAATTATTTGAAATCATCACCAAAAAGATGAATTATCAGGTAATTTGTATTGGGGGTTTCAAGTGAAATGAGAAAAGGACACATGCATCGTTCTGTGTGTGTTTACAAAGACATCTCCAGAGGAAACTATTTTCTACAAAGTTCTGAAGTGAGACATCAAAATCTACTGAAATTAATATGCAGCAGACTTGGTTCACAATGGCATTTCTCCAGCATCACAAGTAAATGGTGAACAAGGCTTGGGATTCTATTTTTAATATCCTTTTTCTCCCGCTGGAAAATGCTGCCTATTCCATATAACGTGTATGAAACAAGTTGGTTTTGTTCTATTTCAGCATCTAGAAGAGAAAGACAATGGTTTCCAAATGGTCAGATGCTAAGATTAGATTTTCTGCAGGGCTTCTACTGAATGACCAGGTTATTAGCTCTAATTCTTAATTTTTTACTTTTTACTGAGCATTACTTCAGTCACACAATTGAAACATCTCACTGGAGCCTGCTCTGTCGAGGGGATAGCTTCATAATACAGTCTAACCATTTGTTCTCCTCAGCTGCAGTCCACACCCAGGCCCTTGAGCAGCAGCAGGGATAAAGGAGGAAGCAGGGAGGGAGTGGTGGCTTTTCCACTGGGAATTCCAATCAGATTTCTCCAAATTTGGAGTCTGCTCAGCTGGGCAGATCCAGTTGCTTTCCAGCAGCTGGTTATATCAGTGTACAGTAGCTGAAAGCACTCGAGGCAGCAAAAGCATTTCTGTACCCTAATATCCCAGTATTTCTGAATATGTAGCATAGTTAAATAGGCAGGAAAGTACAATTATCCCCTTTGTAACAGAAAAGATTTTGGCACACCAGTGAACACCGTTTATCTGTGGTTAGTTAAGCTACTTCAGAGTAAGAAAAAGTTATAGCACATGCTATAAAACCTAAAAGGAATTTAGTACTTCCCCCAAAATAACAATTTATCCGTAGCAGAATCAAAGTGAAATTTACCATGCAGCTTGGTCACTCGTGTAACACTGCTATGTTGCAATTTGCTCTAGATATATTACTTACCATTCTTCGCATCTCTACAGCCAACATGATTTGTCCCACACCTCCTAAAACAGAAGGAAGGCTGAGTCTTTTCATACCTGTGTCCTATTCAGAGAAGTCTCCTTCCCATACGTCTGTATTCAGCCAATGCGATAAACCCCAGCATCCACATCAGCTTGATCCACGCTGCACATTTCCTTCACCTGCTATCATCTGCCTCTTCCTTACAATTGCATTGGTTTCTTCAGGTGAAAACCTCTAACATCTCTAAGCAATATTATCTCAGAGCAGCGATGGACCATGAGCTGTCCATTGCTAACCAGGAACAAGATCTCAGGATTGCAATCAGTAGTTCCATGGAAAATAAAAATGCACTTGGTGCTCTGCAGGGGACAAAAACCCCAACTCCAAACCAAGTGTCAGCTACTATTTGGTAAGAAAAAGGGATAAAAAAAAGACAATCATCATACAAATCCACAGTATTCCTATCTTGGATATTTTGAGAAGCCCTGGTCCTCCCTTCTATGAAGGTGGGAGAAGATGACCAAATGTCCCAATAAAAGTTATAGAGACAACTTCCACGCAATGACTGACTGGGATATATTCCAGGAAGAGGTTTAGAAGCATCATCAAAGCATGCAGGGATAAAACTGTGAAGGCCAAACCTAGGCCACAGCTAAATCCATAAGGGATGTGAAAGACAGTAAGAGCATGCGTAGTTACATCAGCAGCAAAAGAAGGATTAATGAAATCATGGTGTTGCTGCTTAATGGGGCAGAGCACTTAGTAGCACAGGACGTGGAAAAGACCATGTCAGTGTCATTGCTACTGGCAAGGTGTGGTCTTGGTCTTGGAACTCCCAGATCCCTATGGGTAGTAGCAAAGCTTGCAGGAGAAAGGTGCTGCTTGCAGAATAGGAGGATGATGTTATGGGCTACTTAAATAAACAAGACATATGTAAACTCATGGGATTAAAAGCAACCGAGCACACTGAGAGATGTCCAGCGTCACTGTGAGGCCACCTTCTGTCATCCCTGAGTAATCGTGGTGCTCGTGGGAGGTCCCCAAGTGCTGGAGGCAAGGAGGATCTGGGCTATGGGGGTCAAGGAAGACATGACTCATCAGCTTAACCTGAAATGATTTCCAGAATCAGTAAGAGCAAGAAGATGACTGGGAACAGCCAGCATGGATTTACCAAAAGCAAATGATGCCTGACCAGCCTGAGCACCTCTGCGATGAGAAGACCAGCTCTGCAGGCAAGAGGAGAGCAGATATTGCTTACTTGGACTTTAGCGATGACATGCTTCCCCATAGCATTCTTATAGGCTAGGAGGAAATAACGACTGAACATGTGCGCTCTGTAACAGATCAAGGGAAAGGCAGCAAGTAAGTGCATCTTCCAGACTGAGTTTTATCAATATTACTATTTCTGAGGTAATAAGAAAGCTTATGGCACAATAAACTTTGTCCTGAATCTGAAATTTTAATACACCAAAGCTGGCAGGTTTTGCTACTGTGTGGGAGAGCATCCAGATGCAGAAGTCTGTGTTCATTCCAGTGATTATTTTTAGGTGAGTAACAATGTCCATCTTAGCATAGCAATATACCCTGCTTTCAGACCATGCTGTGAAGTACTCTTGCACTTCAGTCTTACTATTCCAATTATACCTCTACCCATCATATTCCTTGTACCAGGATTCTCTGCCTGATCTGTAACAGTGTAGTTTAAGTCCACCAGACTTACTAGCTATTGCCCTGTAGCATACAGCTTAGGTCTTCCAAAATCGTGCTAAAATCTATAATGTATCCATGCCTTCTTAAAGATCTTTAACACTTTTCCTGGCCCAGAAAAAAATACTTCACTTCAGTATTGTACATTTGAGAATTTATTTTTATGGTTTTAAGAGTTTATTCTAACATTTAAGAACTTCTCATGCTTCTACATTCATTTATTTATTTATTTTTAATAAAAAGTATACTATCTGCAAGTGTATAATCATTTCTATTAATTCCCTTTATTAAGGGTTAATATAAAAAAAGATTCGGATCTGTTTTCCTTTTACTTTCTACTTACCCCTTCCTCTCCTTCTATGCTTGCAGCTGCACAAATTCAATGCCTTAAAAGAGTAATCATCCACAAAAGTCACATTTTGCATGTGTTGCTCTATTTTGAAATTACCTGATCAACCTGCTTTCAACACTGACCTGACAAAGCGCAAATTTTACCTGTGTTTTTAAAACCCCTCAGAAAGCAAACTTGCAATGCATAGGCCTTAGTGTAGGTAGGGAAGGAAACAAATGAGTTAATGGAAAAACTGTTCTCAAGGACAGGTGAACGAGCCAAGCTTCGGGCACAGCTGCTCAGGGTCAGGGTTTCTTGCTCACCCGTAGTCCGCATGCCCGGTCCTCACTGCTCCCCAGCCTTCCCAGCCCCACCAGCCAGTTCTACTCTCTGTGCCCCCAGTGGTTTGGGGCTTGAGTAACATGGGCCTCTTGCTCTGCCTGTCCTCATACTCTCCTCCATCACCTGCACAGAGAACTGACACAGCCGGGATGCCCATACTGAGTGCTGCTTGTCCTCATGTGCCTTGGCCAGCAGCAGCAAGAGCAGAATATGGCCCCTGCGCGGGCTACCCTCCAGAGGTCATTGTCCATTCCCCTTCTTGCGTTCCCTCCCGCCGGCCAGCCCTGGCACCCGGCCCAGATTAAACTTGATACACCCTGGGCGAACTGCCATGGGGCCGTGGACAGCCCTGACACCGCAGCAGGCCTTGATGGTGGCCGCCCTCTCCTTGCTGAGGGCTCAGAGGTGGCGGTGGTTTCTCTCCTTGCCCGCAACAGCTGTGCCCCCTTGCTGTGCCACTGCTCACCTCTATGTCTGTGTATTGTCCTGCCTGCAGCCCTGCTGCGAGCAGGGCAAGTGTGTGTGAAAGCAAGCATGCTTGCATGTGTGTGTGTGAACAGGGGTGCCCCTGTGCACCTCTGGTGTATCAGCATGCATACATATATAGATAAGCATATAAGCATGCATGCAGACATACACGTCCCTGCACACGTCCCTGTGTGTGCATCTGCATATATGTCCCTTGGTGTGTATGTGGAGATAGACTCAAAGAGCCATAGAATGGTTTGGGTTGGAAGGGACCTTAAATACCATCTAGTTCCAAGCCCCTGCCATAGGCATGGACAGCTCATAACTAGACCAGGTGGCTCAAAACCCCATCCAACCTGGCCTTGGACACTGCCAGGGTTGGAGCATTCACAGCTTCCTTGGGCAACCCATTCCAGTGCCTCACCACCCTCACAGTAAAGAACTTCTTCCTTACATCAAACCTGAACTTCCCATTTTAGTTTAAACCCATTACCCCTTGTCCTATCATATGTATCCTATATGTATCCTACCCTATGCGTACATGCATCTGCCTGTCAATCCCCCCACACAGGGATATATGTATATAGGTGTATATATGCATAGATACACACATATGTAGATGTGCGTGTGCGTGCACACTATTAGACACGCGCGTACCACCGTCGGCCCCATGCTATAAACGCCTCACTTCTTCCGCCCCCACTCGGCAACTCGCCCCGCGCCTTGCGCCCCGCGCATGCGCCACCCCGCCCTTCGAGTTACCACCCCCACGCTCTGCGCTGACCGCCGCTCCATACAGATGGAGCCCCGCCCCCTGAGCCTTTCGCCCTGTTGCCCTCTTCCAACATGGCGGCTGCTGCCTCATTCACGCAGGCACATAGGCGCCGCCCTGTCTCCTTTCCGCCGGGAGCCGCGAGTGAAAAAGACAGGAAGAAAGCGGCCCGGGAACTCTATGGTTTCGCGGGGTGGGTAGCGTGGAGCAGCCGACTTGTCCTCCCGCCCCTGCCCGCGTTGCACGCCGGGACGCAGTGGGTCCTCCTTCCCGCCCCCCTCCCCCCAACCCCCGCCCGTCCTCCGAGCTTGCGCCGCGCCGATATCCGCGTTGCTCCCAAGATGGTGGCGTGGGGCTCGCTGTGAGAGTGAGCGAGTCCGCTACAGGAGGCGCAGCCGCGGGCCTGGCCCGCCCTCTCGCTGTCGGCAGGCCGCTCCCTCGTCCTTTCCCGCCAGGCCGCGTCCCTGTCTTCTCCGCACCGGGGCCCCGACGACTCCTCCGGCAGCAGCAGCGTTGGCGGCGGCTCCTCGCCTGCGGCCCGACCCCGAGCGCAGCGCGGCCCCCGCATGAGCCCGGGCGGCGGTGCCGGCGGGAGTGACCGGGAGCAGCAGGCCGCGGCGCCCAGGTCGGTAGGCGCTGCGCAGCGCCCGGCCCGAGGGAGGGCCGGGACGGGGGATGGCGCCCGGCTCACGCCGGCCCTGAGGGGGAGGGAGCCGGGAAGCGGCCCTGCCCGTTTCCCTCCGCTTGGGAGATCCACTACCGGGGGTGGTGACGGCAGGCGGGAGGCTTCGGCGGCAGGGGTGCGTGGCCCCGGTGGTCATCCACCTCCTCCCCGTGAGGCACATGGGTGCGGGGCCGCCCCGTCCCTCCCCAGAAGCGGGAAGGCCGGGCGGGCTGCAGCCCGCCCCCAGGGGGACCTGGGCTTGCTGGGCGACCTTGGGTGAACCTAGCCTGTCCCTGCCTCAGTTTCCCGGTTCCGCGGGGCTGCCGTGGGCACGGGGCGCCTGGGCGCTCTCGGCATGGCCAGCTGGGGCAGCCGGGGAGGTGCGGGTGTGTGAAGTACTGCGAGGGTGCGTGACTAGTGTGCAGGGCCCGCTTAATAAAGTAGCTGTGTTCACTTGCTCCTGTTACCTTTGATCCAGTCTGAAGAGTCGGATCTTCTAACCTGTGAACAAGATGCTTTGCTAGTAAACGGGATCTGTCACCTCCCGCTGCAGGACTTTCGGGGTTCCGTTTTTAAGTGTAGCGGTAATATTTCTTTTAAAGGAGCTCTGTAGGGCATTACAGTTCACAGCTGATTTGTATATCTGGTGTCTAAAATGAAGTGATGTGGTCATTCAGAAGTTAGTACTGCTGAGGGAAAAAAGCATGGTCCACAACTCTCCTTTAAGTGGCAAGAACCTGTAATTATAGACTTTTGGTTATGCTTCCCCTCCTCCCCCAGTTAATGCTTTTTTTTTTTTTTGTTTTCTTCTGTGTAAGCTTTGTTATAGCTCTGGAAGAAAACCTGTGTCTTACACATCAGTTCAGGAATGGCTTCTCTGTGTCTGTATGGAAACTTCCCTACTTCAGTAGGTGGCTGCGCAAACCTGAGGCTCAGAATCAGCTTGTCAGATTAGTTTTACCGTTCCTCTTGCAGGTCTACCAAAAAGTTCATCAGTGGGAAATTTTATCTGATTTGAGCTTTGATTCCTAACAAAGTAAAATGGACGTGACTGTATTGTTATTTTACATTTTTGTTTATGTTGCTGACTGGTTTGAAAGGAAGAAGTCTAAAACAGAAGATTAAGTTACTAATTCATGCAAATAGCATCCAGTTGGAGATTCCACACGAAGAGGGAAGCTAAACTCTATGTTGTGTTGTTAGACATCTATGACTGGGTGAGATGATAACAGAGGTGGTGAGAGGTACCCCTTGATAAGAATGAAAACTGCTGGAAAACAGGCTTTACAGTTTTAAAAAACTGCTTAGTTTGGATGGTAGCATGGAATACTCTGTGCCCTTTCATCTTGGAAACAGTTGAAGGCTTGAAAATACTGTGAAACTTGAAGTGTGTTGAATTGAAAATAGGAAATGTGCATTACCAAATTGCTATGGATATTCCACAGTTTTCCTTACACTCATTTTCTTTTAAAAAGAACTGCAGTTTGCAGTGCTTATGACTTGTCTTTGTAACAGTAATGTTCTGTCAATTCGATATAGACAAACTTTGAAAGAAAATCTAGACCACTGCTTAGGTTTACAGGTCTGAAAAATATCTTTAATTGAAATTATTTCTGTGCAGTATTATGGGATACTGCATGTCTCTTTTATGAATACCTTCCATTCCACTATAAATGTTTGCTGTTTGTAGTATCTTTCATACTAGAATCAACAAGTTTTTTTTCTGTTTACCAGCATTGTTTGCTGGTTTTCCTCCCTGGACTATCCCTAGGATCTCCCAAGAATTCATAAATAAAAACATCAAGGTAGATGGCAAAATAGCTTGATTTGTTTGGGATTTTCTAGGGACATGATTCTGTGACTGTGTAAAGGAAGTGACAGAAGGGAAGGCTGGCTTGGAACAGCATAGGAGTTTAACTTGTTCACAGCAGTGTTTTAAAGCCTAAAGCTTTCAGTTCAGGTCCTCTTCAGAACCCTTAACATTGTGTGGGTTTGATCCTTTTTTTAATAGCAAACAAAGCTTTTAGTCTTTTTTTAATTACTGCCACTGCTTAAAGACATATGCAAATAATTATTCTTTTGTGGATGGGATTTAAAGCTGTGTGTGTATGTTAAATACACCAAGAGATTTTCTCAGCTTGTTACAGCACCTAGAGTGAGATTGTCCCTCTTCTAATTGACTTGAGGAAATAAAACAGATTCTTTTTCTTTTCACTTCATGTTTGGTAGGAGAAAGCCTTTTTCAGAATTATGAAATATGCACCCCAGTAGGAAATCATGCTTATTTCACTATGAATATTTGCTTTTTAACCTTGTAACATTTTGTGTAAACAATAGTGTAGGACATGATATGGCATTTAACGTGGAATGAATATAATGTTTACATTTTTATAACTGTATCAAATATGCATCACCTTAGTTTTTGCTATGGAGTAAATTATTATTATTTTTTTTTTCCTCTGCTGCTTTTGGTTTCAGTTTATTTAGTGAATGTTCAGAGAGAATTAATGTTTTTTTAATTCAGGAAATGTCTTTCCCTCTCACCATAGCAGTGTATTCATACATGGGAAGATAAAAGCTACCAACTCTTAAAAATAGAACACGCAATTGAGGGACAAGGGAAAAGAATTCCTAAAATATGTAGGCATATATCTTATTTTCAGTGTCAGTATTTGGTACTGTGGGCCAGGTCTTCGCTTCACTTTAGTTAATGAATTGATATTGATTTTTAAACAAAGGAGATGTTTTACACTTTTTTCTGAAGTATCCAGTAGCTGTGAGTTTTACAGAGCAGCAGTGTTGAAAGATTTTCTGTCATTAATCAAATGCTGATTTGTACATGGAAGACGGTAATACATTTGCTGTCAGGTTCTGTGACAAATAATTTAGAATATGATGTTTACTAAAAAAAAAATACCATTTTCTCCCCGACTCCCAGGAGAGTGTTGTGAGCTTTGCTAAATATTTGGTTCCCAGAAACAACAGCAGTGAGCAAACCACATGTTAGGAGTGGCTTTTTGTCACCTTAATATTTTGACCTTAACTTTTACTGCATTAACTTCTTGTGCTTACAGACAGTGCCTGACAGCCTTATAAAGCTGTATGGCCCATGAATAAAAGTTTGGAAAAAAGCAGACTTATATGAACAATAATGTGTGTAATGTATCTGGTTGGTCTGCAGAAAGTCAGCAAATGCAGTGTAAAGGTAACATTTTGTAATGAAGCAACACTTCAGCAGCTGTACTGGCTGGTAAGATGTTTCCTTAGGAAAATAACCTTGTAGGATAAATATTTAAAAAAAAAATTAATGATAAAATCAAATAATGTTGAGATCCAGGATTCCTGGTTAGCAATACAATACGTGACCAAATAGCACTTTTAATTGCTATTTTTGAATAGTTCCACCTTCTTGTGGCTGGGAGTTGAGAGGACTTGTTAACAACTTACTTGTTGCAAAATTACATTATAAATTAAATATTACTATGGTGTTCTGTCTCACAAACACTTGTGAATTCATCTCTGAAAGGAAGCGTTAACTAATTCTTACTTTTAATAGGTTGAGCCTGCTTCCCTGTATTATGAAAACTGCTGAATGGAGGAAGAGGGTGGAAGTCAGACTTTAGCGGTACTCTTTCCATTACCATTCTGCATGGTTCTTTACCTGTGTTTTACAGAGTGTTGAAGAATTAGGAGAAGCTGCAGTTATTCAGCTGGGTGAACTAAATGGGTGGCTTGCCTCTGGACCCTGACTCTCACTTCACTGTCTTAGGTAAGAGGGGTGACCTGCTTCTTTTGAAGCAACTTGCATTTCCTTAGAACAGGTGTATGTGTTTTAAGAGAAACTTCTAGTTCGTGAACCAGTGGTTTAGTTTTTTTGTCTGTTTGTTTTGTTGTTGGGTTGTTGGTTTTTTTTCTGTCACCTGGTGGCTTGAAAAGAATATTAACAGCATGTGGCTGTTTTAGAATTGTCTTTGAAAAGCACTCTTATTTGTATCCTTCCACATACCTTTGAAAACATGCTCTATATTGACATACTTTACCTTTGAGAATCATGCTTATCTTGTGTGGTACTTTGACAGTGGAACTGTCCCATAGGTGAATTACAGCAGTGATGGTTTAGCACAAACTTGAACTGATATACCAGCTGACAGCTTGATAGTGAGGGTATAACTTTTTTCATGGAATAATAGAATAGTTTGGGTTCAAAGGAACTTTTAAAGGTCATCCAGTCCAACCCCCCTGCAATGAAGCAGGGACATATACAAACAGATCTGGTTGTTCAGAGTCCTGTCCGGCCTAACCTTGAATTTTTCCAGTGATGGGGTGTCTACCACCTCTCTGGGCAACCTCTTCCACTGTTTCACCACCTTCATTGGTAGAATTGCTTTCTTGTCATTAGTGTAAGTCTACCCTCTTTTATTTTAGAAGCATTACCCCTTGTCCTATCACAACAGGCCTAAGTTTGTCCTATCTTTCTTATAAGCCTCCTTAAGTACTGGAAGGCTGCAGTAAGGTTTCTAAAGCCTACCTGGAGCCTTCTCCAGGCTGGACCACCTCAGTTTGCTCAGCCTTTCCTCATAGGAGAGGTGCTCCTGCCTTTTGATCATTTCTGTGGCCCTCCTCTGGACCTGCTGCAACAGATCCATGTCTTTCCTGTCTGAGGACCCAGGAACTGGAGGCACTACTCCAGCTAGGGACTCACCAGTGCAAAGCAGAGGGGCAGGAACACCTCCCTCAACCATCTGGTCGCACTTTTAGTGCAGCCCAGGATACAGTTAACATTCTGGGCTGCGAGTGCACATTGTCAGCTCATGTTCATTATTTTATCCACCAGTACCCTGTAAGTCCTTCTCAGAGGCACTCTGTATTGATATCACCCAGCCTGTATTAATACCAGGTATTGCTCTGACCCAGGTGCAGGTTATTGACACTAAAACTCATGAGGTTTGCATGTGCTCACTTCTCAAGCTTGTCCAAGTCTCTTTGGATGGCATCCCCATCCCTCAGGTGTGTCAGCTGCACCACTAAGCTTGGTGTCCTCTGCAGACTTGCAGAGGGTGCACTCAAAGTGTCCATATTAAAGAGTACTAGACCCATTACAGACCCCTGAGGAACACCACTCATCACTGATCTCCATCTAGATGTTGAGCTGTTGACCGCGTCCATCTGGATGCAGCCATTCAACCAATGACATGTTGAAACACATGCTGGTTGTCTTGAATCACCTGTCTTCCATGTGTCTTCATGTTCAATCCTGGTGTGACATAATGTCAAACCTGTGACCTAAGTACCTACATAAGACAAAGTAACAAAACCTATAAGGTAGTTTGAAACCCAGTTTAGGTTTGGTCTTGGTGGGCCTTGCATCAGCCAGTGGGATCACAAGCATAAAATCATGGAACCTGTATTTGGGTTTGGCTAATTGCATAGCTGTGATTTGTCTGCATGATTTTCTTTTTATTCTGTGAGGACTGTGGCAGGACTCCTGCCCTGACCAAGATTGAGTTCTAGGGACAAAGCTAGTTATTCATCTGTCCTTCATAGCGGAGATCACACTTCTACTTCCTTTGATGGACCCTTTTTTGGGATTTGTTGATACTCCCTTGATAATCATTACATTAAAGACATTGGTGAAATGAGAATGACAGACGAGCACCCCTTTTCCATACCTTCAGGAGCTGTGTGCAGGGGAGGCACAAGACCTGCGTAACATGTTGCCAAGCTTGCATGGTGCTGAGAGATGCCAGACTTGTCCAGGCAGCTGGGCTCTGGCATTGCTTGTGTACTCCTGCTCTGGTATGCTTTGTGGGACCCAGGTTGGAGCAGCTGCAGTTCAGCAGGCTTGGGGTGTCAGGGGGTGGTGGAGTGGCTCTTAAAGGAGCTGTACTTCTAAAATGGTCTGCAGGTCAAAATACTTCAAAAAATGCTACCATAGTTGTAGACAAGTTTTTCTTCTGCAGATGGTTATTCATGTGCAGGAGCTGATTAATGCTTAAAATATTTTGATTTTACAGTATGGTAATTTTCATTTTCTTAAAAGCTATCTAACTTTTACAAAGCTAGATGATATTGGTCTATCACTACTTCAGAATTTCTGTTTTCAATATCATGTTTCCAGGTTTCTTATTTGTATAGCGATACTCAGCTAATGCTTACTTTTTATTTCATAGTGAAATCTCTTGAGCAAAATTGTGGTAATAAATGCTGTGGTTTAATATGTGTATATACCCTATTTCATTTTTAGGAAGTCCATGGTATATGAGCATACACAGGCTGCAGTGGCAGCACTCAGATGTGTTTCAGCTGTTGTAGCAAAACTTACCTATTTGGGACCATGACAATACATACTTAGAGTCTACATAATCTGCAAGTCTCATCAGAGTTGAAGGGAATGTGTCACTTTTGTGAAATACTGGTATTTCTTGGTTGTAAAAGTTGAGCCCTTCACATTGTAAGGTGGTGATAAATACTTCATTTGTGTGGCTCCTCTGACCTAAATATCTTACTGAAAGAAGGGTGTTTGTGAATACTTGGTGGTTTTTTGTTTGGCTAATGTTATGTCGTATATGTCAGTCATGGAAGAAAATTATTATTTAAAGTCACAGTTTCTCTAATACAATTTCAAATACATAATGCTACATAAAATACCTACCTTTTTTTAAGGGTAGCTCTCAGAATTTTTTATTTTGCTCCTGTCTTATGAAAGTTACTGCAAAAAAAAAAAAGTGGAAAACATTCAGGACTAGATAAGAGGTGATTTCATGATGTCTTGCATCAAGCCAGACATGAAAGTTGCAAAGTATTTTTTGTAATTTAGAATTAATTTCTTAAATATTTTTCAGTTCTGTACATTATAGTTTGGTTAATTACCTAGCTTAGCATCTTTGTTAATATTCAGTGTGCCTTAAAGTCTCCTCTTACTGAAAATATATGACAGTTGTAAACAAGCAGCTCTTTTGGCTCTGGTCATGTGACACATCAAGATTTCTTCTTGTTGAGTGGAAGGAAGCGTGTTAGCCATGCTTTAGTCACATTTTCCATTTGCATTTTTTTTAGGCAGTTGTGGTAGCCTAATGCTAATTAATGAGTACTAAAGGTGAATGTTAAAGCACATCTGACTTCATTAAATTATTTTCATTCTTTTTTAGACAAGCATTACAAATTCTGTAGTTCATTTTGATGTTGGTCATGTAGCCTTTGAGTGTAGCCTTTTAGTAGACAGCTGAACTGCTTTGCTCTGGTGGTAGCTGGTGGGGGGAGTTTGAAGAAAGAGGACTAGAAGTCCAGGAGCTTCGGTTTTGTGTTGCTGGAATTGCTCATCTGCTGCTAGCTACATGTTAATAAGCAAGTCCTGTGTCTTCCGTCTCCTCTGCTGTGGTCTCGTTTCTGCTGTAAATTGTACTGTTTTAAACTACATAGCTTCAATTATATTGGGAACCTTTGTTATCTTTTCTCCTATTGCTGGATAATAATCATAAGATAGATGTGTAATTTTGATACCTTTTCATGCTATACTTTGTGCTCTGCTCATACTCTGTGCGTACCGATGGTGCTTTTGTACCTTAGAGGAGACAGAGTGAATTTTATATAGATGGTACTGATTTATCTGTGTACATGAACAATTATATGCATTGGTGTTTGAGCTGGAAGTCTTGTGATACAAGGTGTGAAAATATTGGTCACATTTGTCAGAATATTTCTGAGTTTGCTTAATGGCAGCACTGTGAATGAAGAATTATTCTTTAATAGAATATAAAATAAATATTCTAGATTTCTGTTGGTATGGAGTAGAAGTGCCACTTCCAAACAGGAAAATCATTAGTTTTTGTTTCATATTGTTCAAATAATCATTTTCTTTTTCTTCTGAATGGTACCAAAGTTCTACTGGTGTAGTTGCATAACATTAACTCATTAATCCTAATTGTACATAAATCCATATAGTTATCCTAATTGTTTGCTGAAATAGCAGTCTTGTTTCATGAAACAGGTAGGTTGTCCTGTTTAACTTTTTTCTTTAAATACAAAAAATTGCGGACAAACTGTTAGTGATATAGAGACTGCTTTACTGGCACGACTGTTTCAAACCAGGATCACCCATTTCACATCCCTGATAAAGAACTGGGCCTTTGGTGTCCTGGATGAGTTCTCTGTGGTTTGACATCTTTTAAGGCAAACCAAAATGTACTCTTAAGGTAACCAGATCAGTGTTTCCTTCGTGGGAACTCTGATCTGTATTGGAGATCAGCCTAAATCGGCAGCATTGGATTTATTTGTTCTAAATAGAGTTTTAGAACCTAGAAATTAAGTGGAATGGTACTGAAAATGTGATACTCTGTGCCAAATAAGTAAGTTGGGTGTTTTGGTTTTGTTTGTTTGGTGGGTTTTTTTTTCCTTTTGAAAGTTGCTACTAGATTTCTTTATCTACATGCTTATTCCTCTCACTTTTTTCTCCCTGAAACTGGTTGTACTTCTAGGTGTTTGTTGAAGATGTTTGAAGTATGTTTTAGTCATGTGTCTGTTGTTAGTTATGGCTTGCCTGAAAATGAATGAATTGTAGAGCTTATCAAACTCCACCAGTTTTGTGCAGCCTGGACAAAGATGTGGTTCTGTCTGTGACTTCTTTGAGCGTTGGGTGGGTTTTTTTCTAATGATAATTACCATTAGTTAATAAAAAAAGAAACAAACAAAAAACCCCACACCACAATAAAAACAACAAAACCAAACAAATAAAAAAGACCCAAACAAGCAAAACCCCCAAAAGCACAAAGAAACACACACACAGAGATCAAAAAAAGAAACCAAGCAAAAAACCCCAACCAAACAAAAAACAAAACCACAAACAAACCCCCCCCCCCAAAAAAAAAAAAAAGAAAAAAAAGAGGGGGGAGAGAAGACCATGCCAGAATCTTCCATATGAAGGAAATTGCTATTTATCATGAGGTAGATGAATGGAATTGTAAGACTCTATTGCATTACTGTGGAGGAAAGATTAGGGAACATTGTATGTGCAGGCTTTCTGCTTTTGTGTTTTCCCTAACGTAGTAAATATTTTCTGTTGTGGTTTTTATGGGAAGTATGATTTAGCTTGGGAAGTCATGATTTAGTTTTAGGTAGTCCTGTGAAAACAGGGGGTTGGGCTCTTTATGGTTCTCTTCCAACTGGACATACTCTGTGATTCTGTGTTTCCTTTAGTTGCAGCTTGTCACTGATTGAATGTGTCATTTTGAAGTTGTATTGAACTTGTACCAAGCACAGTGTGAAAACTGGAATGTAATGGGTTTTTTTTTGCATTGTAGGTACAAGAACCGTAGAAGTGCATTTTAAAATTTGAAAGAACAAGTTTCTGCAGCTCTGGAAAGATATGGTATGTTTATGTTTTCACTTATAGTGCGTGTATGCTAGTAATTATAATATGAAAGCTTTGTTTTTTGTTCCTGGTTAAAAAAAATGAAATGTTAAAAATAAAGTCAGGAAGAAAAATGCATTAATTTTTCCTGTATTTTTTTAGCTGTGATGTTTACTAGTTAGGTATAGTGCTCTAGAAAACTGACTTAGTTGAGGGTTTTTTGGTGTTGTGTTTTTTTTTTCCTTGGAGAATGCTGAAGATTTGGTTTTGGTTTGTTTGGGTTTTTTCCTTCCTGCTGAGCACATTTATAGTGAGACTTTTACAGGTTTTAGGAATGGCTTGAAAAATAAGCTCGTAACTACTCGCAAACTTAAGTAAACATCAGTGTAAGTTAAATTCGCAAATTGGAATGCTAGGAAACAGCATTGACCAGAGAAGCTGTGGCTTCCCCATCCCCAGCAGTGTTCAAGGCCAGGCTGGATGGGGCTTTAAGCAGCCTGGTCTAGTGGAAGGAGTCCCTGTCCATGGCAGCAGGGTTGGAACTAAATGAACTTGAAGTTCCCTTCCAACCTGAACTATTCTATGAAATACAGAAATGTAGCTTTCCTTAGTAGTGCTAACATCAGCTCATAGCATATGGCATTTTTTTGTCTAGGCTCTTGAATGTCCAGCCAGCTTAAATATATACATGTATTACAGCAAGGTTGGAATCTTAACTTGTAGTTATTTTAATTTTCATTTTCTGACTTTATTCTGGTGTAGTCCTGTGGAGATACCTGGTAGTACAGAATGACTGCGCCACCCTAGTGTTTTAAGTTCTGTAGTTGTGCAGTTTGGTACTTACAGAATTTTGGAAGTTTCTTGCATTGCTGCATTCAGAAAAACAATTACTGGGTGGTTTTTTTCTACCATATTAAATAGGTCTAATAATGTACATAAAAGCTTTATGTGAATATATGTAATATTTAAAATTAACTGCTTCTAAGCTACATCCATACTGTTTTTAATCACTTTAAATGTTGGAAGAAATAGCTAACTACTGATAAGAGCTTTATACGCCATGGGTATATGTCTAGGTTTTTGTTTTGAAGGTATTTAACATAGGAAAGTATTTAAAGTTTTGAAATCTCAACCTTGCAGAAGGATTGTTTGGCATCTGTTTTAAGCTATAGACAGGATTAATTCTAAGCTATAACTTTAAATATAGTATGTGCTAATTAAAGATTGTAAATGACTTAAAGCTATAACGTTACATTATCACAGTCCAGATGTTCCTGAGAGAATTGTATAAATTGGTCCTTTACTGTAGCAGGCATCTGGTAGGTAGCGTATGTTCATTTTTGCACCCACAGCACCACTGGGACCACCCAGCTGCTTCTTGCTCTCCAGTTCAATACCAGTTGTGTGTATGATAACTCTTCTTCAAACCTAAACCATTATTTCTTTCTTGCCATTTTTGATACTGGCTGCTGTTTTCCGAATGTTTAACTGCTTGCCACTGTATGTATGCATAGCCTGTGTACTGGTATGCACTTCATAAATTGGTAAAGAATTCCCCTCTTAATTCCCCACAACTTGAGTAATGAATGCTAATGGAATATCAGAAGAGCTGTATGTTATGCTACAGAATTGCATGATTGCTTGGTCTTAATATAAACTATATATAAACAAACATGCTAATGATACTGAAGAACTTGGTGAACAGAAAGGTATTTTACATGGAAGGCTGCATGAAGGATGGGTAGCAAAAGAAAGCAAAGTAACAAAGTATAAACAAAAGGACAGATGGAACAGAAGTTTAAATACTAAAACTGAAGTGAAGGTGTAAAACATACATGTTTGGAAAATAATTTGATACCTAGGCAGTAAAAGGAGAGCTACTAGAAGAAGTTTAAACAGATGACTGGATTTCACCTTCTGAGGTAGGAGGGTCTTTCTAATCCTAACTGTATATCATTTTGGAGGGAGCCTGAAATAGCAGGCATAATTGAGTTAGAAACAAATGGCTCTGCTGCAAAACCAAGGAGTGTGTGTAGCTGAGTAAAAAACCAGCTGTGGTCTAAGTGAAAAATGCAGAAACTAAAGAATATTTCAGGTCTTTCCCGCTTTTACAGAGGTGAATAAAGTACATCTATGATCTTACTGAAATACCAAACCAAAACCAAATGTTGAAAGAAAAGTCTAATGCCCAGAATTGCAGGGGTGGCTTTAGAAAATAACTCGCAGGCCTTTAGCTTTGGCACAAGGGGAGGGATTGGGTCAAACACTAGACTTTTTTCTGTTACTGCATGATTTCTGGGCTATTGACATACAGACAAAGTAAGTATACAAATATTACAAGATTAAGCTTTTATGTAAATCTGTAGTTGATCTCTGTAAATCAGGATGCACCAAATTCTACATTTATTAAACTCAATAACTTGTGTTTTTACTGAAGTGTAAATTCCAGAATGGTGGCAGCTTTAATTTGAAGATAGTAGCAAATTCAGATCCCTACCCCAAATAATTTATTCATGTTAATTATCCTTTCTGTCCTGCATGATTCTCTTCCTACTCTAATTTGAGTTTGTCAGCCTTCAGTTTCTAGTCATATGGCAGTTTTATATGCTTTCTTTTAATTGGAAGCTCTTTTTTATGTATTTTTTTATGTGCAGTGAGAGGACTTAGTTACTTCCAGTATCCATATTGATTAGCATGATTAACTTTGAACTTTTTCCCTTATCTAATCACAAGGCACTTTTTTCTATATACATGCTGTCTTTGTGACTCTTTTCTGCTACTTCTAGAACACTGCTGAAGAATATTGAATAATTGGAGAACTGGGCACAAGTTTTGGACATGTCTGAAGTACTTTATGTAGATGAACAGGCACTTTTCCAAGAGCCCTTCATATCAGTTGTTCTAGCTGTAATACTGGGAACACTTGTGTGCTTGCACATCAGTTACGACTGTTTTAATCATTTTAGGTTGTCATTTTCCAGGATAGAACCCAAGTCTTTTGGTCTTCTAACTGTATGACTTTGTATTTATTAAATGAATGGTTTGGCTTACTAGTCAGTGGGAAAAAAAAAAAATAATATGGATGTGTTACTACTGGTTTTCTGCAGCTTCGTTAGGATTTATGTTACCAGGTTTTCTTAGTGCATGTTTTATTTTACTTCAGGATCATTCAACCTCCTATTAGTTGTATGAAGAAAATTTCTGGAATCTTATGTCCATTCACGTTTTCTCTGCAGGAAGCAGCATGCAGGCAATGAAAATGTCTTGATAAGGTTGAAAACATCAGTTAAGTCTCAAACATGATATTTTTTTATTTTTTTTCCTCCTCCCCTGCAAGTGGCAGTTAAGATGGAATTTAGGGATTTGGTGAATATTCTACAGTTTTCTCCAGGATACTTAAAACAATCTCAAGTTATAAAAGACCAGCTTTTCTGTTAATTGTCAGTTCCTTTTTTGAAGTAGTGACCTAGCAGGGGAAGTTCTGAGGGTACCTTTTACTGCATAGATGATAACTGTTCATTTCATCATGGTACTCAAAATCCAGAAGTGTATCAAATTCACTCTTGGAGGATTCAGTGATTCTTCAGAAAACATATGAAAGCTGTCTAGTGTTATCTTCATGAGATGGATGATTATTTTTAATTAAGCAACTCAAATTCTGGCACTGTAAGGTCGGGAAGGTCATGGTAGTTCTTTGTACAGGTGAATCACCCTTGTTTTCATGAGATCACCTGTTAAAAAGAGAATCTTAAAAAGAAGAAAAATTGGATCAAAGATTACTCAGGTGGATACTTAAAATTCCTTTGTAAAAGAAACTTAAATTCTTAGAAATGCCACCTCCAGGGCACCCGTCCTTCAGTGAGGTCAGTAAGAAGTTATAGTTTAAATGAGAAAAGTGTTCCTTCTTTCCGGGATCTTCCTAGACCTCAGATACTAGGTGTCAGCTGCCAGATTTCTGTGCTTTCGCAGAAAATGAACATCAAATAACACAGATAAAGTAATGGGTATAGAAAATCCGTGTAAGTGATAACTTTCAATTAAGTGATTTGTACCTGGAAGTTTTTTGGCTTTGGTTGCTGACAAGTAGGTGCTTATGTTCTCCGTGGTGTCGCTTTAAGTTCTGTATGTTGATGTTGGAGACCTCTTCTTGGCTCCTGTTTGTGATCCTTGACTTTTGAGATTAAATGAAACATGCAAAGTGAAGATCTCATCAGGCTATGCAAAAAAGTTGCTTTTAGCCCCTTTTAATGCATCTGAACTTGTTTCTGGCTTCTTGCTCTTTCACTTATTTATAATTTTTTTCCTCTCTCTTTTTGAGTTCATAGAAACATTATTTTCTGAAAATCTGCACCTTTGCCCCCTTGAAGAAATGGGTCTGAGTTGTCTCAGACTACTGCGTAAACATTATTTATCCTGTTGCAGCTTGATGAGGGCTATTCCAGGGAGCCACATACGGTTCTTCAGATACATGGCTTGAGGGCATGGATCTTGTGTATTACAATGCTAATTATAATAGGGGCTGTTGCAGTCCTGGTTGAATCTACCTCTTGTAAATAGTCACTAAGCAGATACAGATGTGTCTCTACTGGAGCCTGCCCAGTCCCAAAGAGCCAAGCAGCCATCTCAGGTTTCTTGGGCATACTCCACAGGCACAAATTTAGATACATTCAGCTGCTCAGTGTGTTTGTGAAAGCCTAAACTGTAAGACATGCTAATCATAATTATAAAAATCTGTTTGAGTAATAACTATCTGCTCTGGGGCTGCTGTTCCTACCTTAGAAAAGGTAAGTTATATCCAGAGTGTGTTTTGTAATGGAATTCCTGTGACAGAAAAGTAGTTGGCTTAGGTCAGTTTCCTATTCTTCATAATGTCAGTTTCCAGGATGCTAATATTCTCATCAGTGTGGTTTCCCTTTCCTGATCAAATAGTGTCCTTTAACTCTGTTACTTGTTGTGGGGGTTTTGTTTGTTGTTCTTATTTATTTTTTTTTGCCTTGTTTGGATCAACAATCAAATTGTCCTTTGTTCAAACTAGAATCAGAATAAGGGATCTTCTGATGCCAGTGTCCTTTACCACCCACCCTATGTTTCAACATGTTGGTCTCTTTGCCAGGAGACACTACTCTGGTGATGGATGAATGAGTAAGGTTTTAGAAAAGAATTTTCATCTATGCTAGGGAATCCTTGCCTATCATATTCTGTCCCAAGGAGTGGCAGCAAGGATATGTGGGGAAGGTAGGACAGGAAGGAGATAGAAGGGAAAATTGTTGAAAGGTAGCATGAGATTCATAGACCCCATACAGTAAATCTAGTTTTAAGGTATCTTGTTACAGATTAGAAATGCTGTTACTGTCCGTTTCAAAGCTGATTCAGTCTATAGACACAAATTTTGCTGCAAAACTTAGATGAGTTAACTTCACCTTGGTGAGATGCATGCTGGCTTGGGTGCTGCCTCTCTTCACAGAGCTGTTGTAGATACTATGTTCAGTGATATGCTAAATCTGACTAACAGAATTGGAGCTGTGTCAGGCCTGGGCACAAACTTGTCTTGGCCATGATTAGTAGAGGTGCCACGTCAGTGCACATTCTTTAACATTCCAAAATCTGATGGTTTTTGAATCCAGCACCAGCACTTCATGTGTTCCTTCACTGTTAACAGTCATGTTCATGGCTTCTATAATACAAAATCTCAGGAAAACCTTGTTTTAAGGTTGCTGTCAGCCTGTTGTTCTAACATGCTTCTACTTGAATGGAAGACTACTGTAACTAGCTTTTTGCCCATGGTCTGGGTGATACAGAACTCAAATCCAGGTAGGGAGTGATTGGTTTGGAACATGAGCCGATGCTGCCAGCAGTTGGACAGAATGCAGGTTTCCTAACACATGAGGAAATTAGAGATTACACCACAGTCCTCTTTGACCCGCATGGTGAAAGTTACTTAGGCAAAGGTCTAGAAGCGGTGTTAATTTCTGCATGCATTTTTACAGAGCAATTTCACATCAGTTCAGAAAGCAGCAAGAATTTAGATTTAACTTTAGGAAGAAGCACTGCCTTGAAATAGGCATCTGTTTATTTAGAGAAAAGGCTTGCCTGAACGTAGACACTGTCAGGTCTTCAATAATCAGAAAGCCATAAGAAGTGTTTTTAAGACTTCTTAGTTTTGCATCAGCGTCTTGATTTTTGCTTTTCTGTTCAGCTGATGGTCAGTGAACTTTAATTTGAAAATCTTTACCCTGTTTGTTGTTTAATGTTGACAGATGAGGAACCTTTGCAACTGACTCTTAATGGTTGCACTGTGTTCCTGGCATTGACTCAGTTAAACTTTGACAATTTATACCTGTAAAACGTAAGCACTAGAGAAACTGCTTTGTTTCAGAGGGTTTTGGTAGCCTGCTTCCTTTTTACTTATGTCAACTGCACGTGTGTTTAGATGAGAAGACACAAATATAACTGATGTTAAAAAAATGAAATTACATTTTTCCTATGTCAAGGAATGTACCCAGTAAAGCTAGTAAGCATCATTCCAAAACTAATACAGATTTGTTCTGTTGTGGGGTTTGTAGCAGAATAGCAAAAATTAGCATTTTTTCTGCCAATTTTTTTAAAATCCTGGGCCTTGTTTACAGATAAGTGGTTTCGTATCACTGATAAGTCAACAGATAACAAATTAGCATTGAGAATGCTTGATTGCTTATTGAACCTAAGTCTTTACTGAAGACTCTTGTAACAGGTTGGACTGAAGCACAAAAGCTTTCTTTACTGGAACATTTAAAACTGTATGATGTGCTCCCTTAATACTTTTACCAGATCACTGTGACTTTGGAGAGCTACGGGTGTGCCCTGAATAGCTTGCTAGCCTTTGTACACCTTGCTTCTGTGTGAGGCTTCTTCATGGCAACCTTCAGATATGGGGAGTTTTATCTGGGACTGAGCCACAGGAATAAACTTCTCTGATATTGTACAGAGGTCTGCCCTCATAGCTACTGGTGTTTAGAAAAAGATAACTTTTTACTTACTAAACACAGTAATAACATTTCAGTTTTAATCAAAACTTTATATTAACAGAAAGTGAATAATGCTTTGTGGTCTGACTCTCCATCAGAGGCCTTTTTTTCTTTACAGACTTTGTCCAGTGCACTTAGGAGCTTGGGTGGGAGAGAGAATGGGGTTGAATTCAGTGTTGAGGGTTATATTTGGAAATATTTTTTCAATTAACTTTAGTTTAGAGTAGATAATAGCAGTAGGTAAGAGACTAACTGGTTCCTTTTCAGCCATGGAAGTAATCAGCTGGGGTGGTCCCAGGGCGCTCTGGGCACGAGTATTGCTGGGTGATCACTGGCTGCCACCTGCGTGACAAAATAAAGGACCAACCCTTCAATTTGTACCGTGGAGCCAGATCACAGGAAACAGTTGACAGGTAAAATACCCTTTTGAAAATTTAAGGGAGAGAAGAGTAGATGCGGCTTAAATGGAGCGAGGTACCTAAAATACTGGCCACAGAGAGTAAGGGTTGCTCCTCTGAAACTTTTACATAGCTTTAGCCTACTTTATTTTGGGGAGAGGCGCATGGCAAAGTGCAAGTTACATGCTGGTCCCCTGGGAAAACGCAGCCTCATCAGGAACCAGTATCAACTGAGTTGTGGCAGAGAAACAACTAACAGAATTTTATTGTAGTTAGAAATTACAGTTCATATTTATGCGTATGCTTCCAGATCTTCAAATGCTTGTTGTCCTGATGTTGGGTGCTTTCCACTTGTCCAAAAGATGGATGTTAGTTTTTTTAGAGAGGCTAAAAATAAGTCGATGAATTTTCAAGTTCACCAGTTGAGTGTACTGTAATGAGTTACTCCAGAAGTCTTAAAATGCCATTCAGAAATTAACTTTTTTTTTGTGCAGTAGGTCTTAATCTTGCAGTTAAAACAATGCTTAACATCAGTATTTTTTATTCTATTTTATGGTTTTTATTTAGCAGACTGGCTGAAAATAATTTGTAAGGACTTATAACTAAATTATTTTTGATTATTTAGAGTTGTTGAGCTTATGCTTAGCCCAGCGTGATACAGGACTGGTGTGACTACTCGTTTTTAATCAGTGAATCAATTGTGATCACCCTGATGTCACCGAATGGCCACAGCTTGTAAAAGGTAAGTATCAAGTGTACTGTGTTGTTTCTCAGGATCAGTATGTTTCAGTTTAATATTTATTTTTAAACTATTTCATTTGTAAGGCTTGAAGTTAGTTTTATAGATAGCATTAAGGTGTATTGTTTGTTTAAGGTAAGTCAGCTGTCAAAGTTGACTTGCGCTCTTGCTTAGAGTGATTTCGAAGCTCACTTAGCTTGTCTCTGCCTGCTTTCTACAATAGGAGCACTGTGGTGCTCTGTGGCAGTCCTCTTAAGACCAATGTTAATCACTTTTGAGTCTGGTGTTTTATACTGTCACACTGAAATTCTGTATACATTTTTTAGCATTCTTATTCAAGGAGTGGCTTGCAGAATGGAGAAGTTGCTCCCTGTGTTATTGGAAGTGAGCCACCATTTCAATTTGCTAGCTCATACTGCAGTATTCAGATTAGTTAGTGTCTTGTGATCCGTATCTAAGATCTAATTCAAAGCTGAAGTTTATAAGAGCATTTGCTCTGTGATTTTTCTCTGAACAGAACTCTTGTTTCAGATTTTAAGCATGCTGAAAAGACACCTTGCCATACTGTGTAGTTCTTTCTTCATACGGTTGCTTGCTCAGAGGAATAACAAGGTATCTTGTTTGTAAACAATTGGGTATTGCAGAATAAATAGCTTCTCAACAAATATTATATTTCCTGTAATTAGATTGATGTTCCACATTGTTCTAATGAGTACTGAAAGCTCGTTTTATCTGGTGCTTGTATCACCATTTGAAACCTTTTAAAATCCGGTTAGTAATTGCATTAATACTTCTACAAATCATAGTTATGCTAGGTCTGTTCATGCTATAGAAAACAAATTAGCTGAAGGAGTTTGATCCCTGTTTTCTCTAGAACCATTTACCTTAGAGGACCAAACCTTTTTTTGACTCAGCTAGGTTTATTTTTTTCTGAACTTTCCTGAAACTGTGTCTTATATTATTGTCTTACAGAATTATATATTTTTTACTTTTTTTTTTTTTTTTTTTTTAGTATAATAGCATGTACTAACTGTGCTGTCTGTTCAAAGCCCAGATAAAGCTCACACAAATGTTAAGGATAGGAAAAGATTTTGGGTGTACAGATAGCTGTGATTACATCCGTACTGCAGATTACCAGGCTACCTTCTTTACATTATATGTTTAGGTGACAATCTGCTTTTTTTTCCCCTTAATTTTTCATACTGCTGCATATTTTGAAGGCTCAAAGCATACTCTTGGTGTTTGTGTTTTAATGCTATTTCACCTGTACTTTCTTAGCAACTTAAAGCATTACTCTTACCCAAAGCTTCATTGTGTCGTATGACTAAAAGATCACGACTGCCTCTAACTTCCAGTCTCTTTACTATCAGTTTCTGAAGTCCTGAATGTGAATAGAGGAGCTAGTGAGTATGAACATAATAAACACTCTTCTTTCCACTGTTCTTCAGATCATGTGACTTCTAGCACTTCGATGCTTAGGTGAATAACTAGAGAAAAAAACCCTAAACTGAAGTTTTTTCTCTCTGCTAAGTAATTTAGTGACCTGGTTTGGTCACTGGAGTTGAAGGGAAATGAAATTTTGATTTGTTTTGCTGTTGAGCATTTTTGTCAGCAACTGTCTTGTCAGTCGTGAACTTCAGTCAGTGAGGGGAAACATCATTTGGAGGGAATAAATAAAGACCAGATTTTGAAATTGGGCAGTCTTTATTATTTTCCAGCTAGAGGGTATGTGCATTTTAAGCATCAGTATAGGATCAGTTGGATGGTAAGTTCAGAATTGTTGCTAGTGTTAGTTGAATTTTATAACTTAGTGAAATATAAACAAATTACTTCCTGTGTTCTTCAGCTGTCACTGCATGGTATCCAGCTTGCCTAGGAGTTTTTAAGTTGTCTGCCAGAAATGCTTTCTAGGCACTGGATCTGTTAATGTGGTACGGTTTGGTAATATCCAGAAAGTTGCTCTGGTATGTTGGTAAAGGAACTAAGATTTTTAGTAGAGAATTGAGAGAATAGTCCAGGCTTTACTAGGAGGGACCACCCAGTAAGGGTAGCACAATGAAACATGAAAAAAAGAAATGTTTCAGGCTACAGGTGAAGATTTCCAGGAGTGTTTCGTATATATGGTCATATAGTAAATAAAGAAATTCAGGAATCCCATTCCTCTAAACAAAGATTTTCTTAGTGAAGCTATGGCAAGGCCTGCTTAGCTGTGCTAACTGAAGCCCCATAGCAAACTGTTGAAACCTACAAAGTGAGTTCTGTTTGAAGATTTTAGCTCACTTCTGTTTTAAGAAAGCTGTCATGAAAGGCATTTTTGTTTATGTAAGCTACAGAGTTTTATTCCAATGGCTGTGCTCTGTTTCCGCTTCTCGGGAAATATATCCTTTGTGTCAGTTATGGGCAATTGTACCAAAGTCTATACCCAAGTGAAGGTTGGCTAATGTTCTTAAGGTATGATACTCAAGGCAGCTATGGTGACTGAAGTCAAAACTGCTGCCATGTCTCCTGGCTCATTGGTTACAAACTCACAACACAGGAAGAAGTCCTGAAGGAAGGAAAAAAATAATCAGTATAAAAAAAATTTATTAAATGTTAACTTCTTGAATTGGTGCTGCCGTAAGGAAGAAGATGGGAATAAGGAAGAGCTGTATTTTAGCCTTGCTTAAGTTAATATGGAGCTATACCCCTTAAGTGAGTCTGTAAATTAAGTCAAGGGGGTTGGTAAGCTGAACACAGGTGCTGTTTGTGTGTTCAAAAATGCCAGGCAAAAACACCTAATTCTGAATATTATTGTCTGACCTGTTGGTTGGAAGGAAGAAAACAGCTGCCTGCAAGATTATTTCAATAAAGTCAATTTGAGAGACATACAAAATTTATGTTGAGATTCTGTTGAGACCTGTTTTGGAGCTGCTGCTTCTTAGAGTCCAGCTGTGCAGAAATTTGTTTGTAACAGTTGATCAATAATAAACTTTGAGTATATGTTTTAGTTACAAAATTGTTTGTGAAGGTTTAGTGCAGAAGTGGTGTAGTATGTAATCTGATTAAGGAAGTACTGCCGGCAGAACTCTTCTCTAATGCCTGCTGTTGTGTAAGCTGTGAGGAAAAAGGGCTGTCCTCCTTAAAGAAAATTTGTCTTAATTATATTGTCAGGGTTTACATTATAAATTGTCTTCTAGGGTTTGGTCAAACAAACTGAATGTGGAAGTGCATAGAAGTTGATGTTTTTTGCTGGCAATAATACAGTATCATCACTTTCCACCTTTCCTAATTTCATATTGTAATGACTTACAAAACTTTAAGCATTATTTGTTATTTTATCTGTATTTGCAGATCACCAGGAGAACCTCACTCTGAAAACATTGAAACTAGCCGAATGTAAGTAAATGAGTGGATGAGTTTGGTATATCTTGTTTCAAAATGTTTTGGACATATGTAACAATTATTCTTGCACCTGCTTAAAAAAGATGACCAAAGCTGAGGAGAGCTGTGGAATTACTGTAGAAAATTTCAAGGTAACATTTTGCTATGGAAAAATAAATAGCTTTAAGCCTCTAAGAAACTGATTATTTTTTGGTTGGTTGGGGATTTTTTTGTTTTGGTTTTGGGGTTTTTTTTTGGTTTTTTTTTTTTTTTTTCTGAGAGTGAATAGGTTGAAAGTTCAGGCGTTTAATTTAATGTGAACCAGTAGATGGTAGCATAATACAGTGTCAGAAATCTTCAGGCCTGTCTTCAGACTTGACAGTAGGGGTGTAATTTCTACCTGCTGTTCACTAACATCTTGCATGGGTTTGAAGACACTTCAGTACTAAGGCACAATACCTGCTAATATCTGTTGTGGCAGATGGATTGCTGAACTAAACAGACTAAAAAAGGTCTGAATTTGTCATGTACATACTAGTTAATTCTAGAAACAGAATGCTATCTTTCTTAACTAAGTTTAAAATACTAAACAGTATTCATGTAGCATCTTGTTCACAGTTTTGGACCTTGTTTTGGTCTGTCTTCATTAGCCTAGAAGCCAAGATTAACTAGAAGCATGATTGTGATAGGCTGAAATCTTCATTTCGAATTTTAAAGGGCTGCAGGTATGAGAGAAACATTAAAAACAAACAAAAAAGTTATTTGAGGCTTTATTCTTCTCTGAGTTAGCAAACACAAATTCTTTTCTAGCTATTCAAACTGTCCTGTCATAGAACTCTGAGAAACCACAAACTGTTTTTCTGGCTTAGAGCACAAGTTCCAAAATAACAGAGAGAGAGCATAGTTTACTAGTTAGGGTACTGTCTGAAGCTTTGAAGGATCTGTGCTCATTTCTCTTCTCTGCCTACAAGCTTCTCTGATCTTAAACTGTCTCCTCCACACCCTCCCCCCAACTGGTCTAGCATTCTACACACTGTGGCTGAACGCCAGTTTCAGGATGTTTTGCAGGCTTAGGGATATAGTGTGAATTGTTCAAGGACTTCTGTGCCATAGCTGTCCAACTTGGAGGTGAGCAAAGCTGAAGTGCCCACATCAAACTGCATACCTAGCCTTAAAAGTGATAAGAAGGAAACAAGGAATGCTTTTCCCATGTGTTTTTAATAAGTCTCTAAAGTGAAGTCTTTTCTTGTGCAGGGATTTCTCCTGGGACCTCTTTTCCCTCTCATGCACATCTGTTACAGAACTGTTGTCTAGCTGCTTTTTTAGGAGTACAGGTTGCAGGGATCCAGACCTTAGAAGTGACTGGCTGTTGCTATGTGAACATGTGTTAGAGGCAGAAGTTGCAGAGCAAAAAACCTGCCATAGTCTCTTCTGCTCCAGTAGCAGCCCCTCCTCCATTGCGTTTTATTGTTCCTGCAGCAAGTTTAGTTTTGTGTTCTTTTGTTTCCCTGGCCTAGTCAAACAGGGGAAATCAGTCTGTAGCCTGGCTAATAGTCTGCTCTGCATATCGTCAGCTGGACTAGTGCTTTTTGCACATTGTAAGGGAAGATGTGTTGGAAACAAGCATTTTGGCTGGCATGAAATAAAGACTCTCTAAGGACCTATGAAAAATGAGAAGGAAAAGGCAGTATAACTTTTTTTTTATTATTCTATCAATTCAACAATTCTTTTTTGTATGTGTTATTATTCTTAAAACTGAATCTGAAAAAGTATCTACAGTAGCAAACTTTTCTGTGGGAAAACTGATTTTTTTGGTGCAGAATGATGATCAGAGTTGCCCTGAGGTTTCAGGTGTCTGTCTAAAATAGATGCAAGCCAGTAAGCTGTAGGGATTCACATATTTGAGTAGTAGTTACACAATATTAATGCATGGTACAGTTTCAAAACTATATTTTTTTTACCGCAACACAATGTGATGGTACATTACTTAGAGAATTTCTGCAATCCTGCTGCGTGGCTGCTCTTGCCACATCAGATGGAATGGCAGGCTGGGTAATACAGTGTGACCTGCAAGCCTACTGTGTAGCTAAAATAGTTACAATGTTATTTACATGACCTTTATTCATTAATAAATATAGGCATTTAAGCAAATGTTTTGTTGTTTGCACACTGAATGGTTAAGTTGGTTTTGCTCTAGTTGACTGACATAATTGCTATTTGTTTGTTTTGCATTGCAAAGCTTTATACCAAGAGTATAGTCATGTATTTTTTCAGGTGTGTGAATTAAAATAAAAAAAATCAACTGCCTCTTTCATATTCTTAAGCAGCAAATTCTTTCATGCAGAAGTCTTGCTTATCCAAAGCTATTCAAATTCTGGCTCTATGCATGATGAACATCTTAGTGCTAACTCAGCTTTTAGAGTCTTTTTCCTTAGCATTCATTCAAGTCTTTGAATTTTTTAAGATTCTGTCACAGTTCTACGTTAATTTTCGGCTTCAATTTGGTATAACTTTCTTAAAACACCTTTAGCACTAAATTATATAAATTTAAGTTGTTCAGTGTAACAATAACTTGGCTTCTTATCGATTCATGTAATTACACTCTGTATCTCATCATGTATCAAGGCAGAGGTGGGTATTTTGATATGCTGGCTTTCTGTGCATTCATCTTTAATTTCTGTTTTTGAGGATTGGATGCTTTCAAATTTGAAACTTCCTCCCCCTTTTTTATATCAGAAATTTGACATCACACACACGCCCCCACACAGAGATTTAAAGTGGAGTAGACTTGATAGTTTGGGTTGTTTCCTTTGAAAGAATGGAAAAATGAAAATTCTGCAGCAGCCGCAAAATATGCCAGAAAAACAAATTGCAACCAGTACAAATATGTACAGTAACTGTATAAGTATTAGTGTTTCATACTACATAATTGCAGATGACATTCTAAGTGCTTTCAAGACATAGAGTGCCTTAAGTTAGTTTCTAATTAGTCATAGCTGAAAGCAGAGGTGGGTTTGCATGACAACCATGGGACATGCTGCTCCTGGCCTCTGTATCAAACTTTGACACATAGGGTGATTTATGTGGCATTTGCTGCTTGTTTTTTTGCCATTCTTCAGAGAAGAAGGTGTAAGAAATATCTTTATGTACAGTTGCAGCTTTGCACTGTATTGTACATGGCTGGGGGGTTGGAACTAGATGATCTTAAGGTCCTTTCTAACCCTAACTATTGTACTGTGGTGTGTCTAGGATGAATGAAAAGATTTCCTCTTGCAATGCGTCATTTATACCCAGACAGTGATTCACTGAGGAAGCTTCATCAGTTAATAAGACTGCATTGACCCACTCAAGAATTATTACTTTCTTAAATTTACCAACTACTTCAGTTACAACTAAGTGTCTGGTTTACCTTTACTTCCAAGAGCAAAAGTGCAGTTTTATAGAAGTGCAGTTTGGCTGAGTTTTATAGTGAAAGAAAAGGAATTCCAGGTTTTGCACTAGAAGACATAAGTGGAGCAAATGTATTGTAGTCCTCTGTTCCCATGGAGCTTGAAGGATGCTGTAAATTTACCAGTTAAAAATAGATGAAGGAAAGCTTAAAGAGGAGAGATCATTCTCTCTGGAACTGTCTAATCCATGAACGGTAGGTTGTTGTTAAACTAGAAACTTAGGTGTTTCAGTCTTACGATCCATATTATTTGCACTTACTTTCTGCGTGACCATGGTCATCTTTCTAGGGCAGCGTCATGCAGAATGAAGGCATAATGAAGGAATGCTACCGTGAAAGCCTAACTTGAACATGTTCTAGAGTCTCTACTAACAGAGTTGTGTGATTGTCATTTGCTTGTATATGATGATGTTTCTTCAAGTTATACAAGATTGATCAGCACTTATGTCTCTTTGCAAGGCCTGTGGTGCAAAGGTTAGATATAAATCAGTATTTTTGTCTGAAATATTTTGTCTCCCATGTCATGCTTTCTACTGAAACACTACAGTGGTCCACAAGTAGACAATTGGAATCAGTGTCTTCAAGTTACTCTCTCTATCTCTTCTGATACCTCACTGCAGTGCTAATACTAATCTCCTTTCTTTGCTTGATCAGAATACAGGATATAAATTTCATACTTGACAAAGTTAAGCTTTTTCAGTAGAGTACATGAAGTTTAATTGTACTTGCTCAAGTGCCAGGACTTCTTTAATCGAGGGAAAGTATCCTAAAAAGTATGTCTTACGCTCAGTGTCTGATTAAAGTATTCACTATTAGTTTTGTCCTGAATATAAAAGGCTGAAGGATTCCTGCAACTGTGTGAAGTTACTGTCATTTCATTACTTTCCAATACAGTCAAAATTGGTTTTATAGCAGCCTAACAGCCTGTACAGAGTATTAGAGTTTAGGATTCTGTACTAGATAATTTAAAACAAAATTTGGAGAACTGTTGAAATGTTTTGTTTGTTTAGATATGATTATTCTTTGGGAATTTAACAGCTGATAACTATCGCATACTTTTCTTTAAAATACTAACAAATTTGTTCAAAGAGAGTAAGATGTTGTAAGCTTATAATCAGTCCAACTTGTAATATGTTTATCCTGGCAGTTACTCAGATTTCTTTGTAGTTAAATAAATTTATGGGCTTTTCTATGAAGGGTATATTTTCCCTTTTCAAAAGGTACTAATTCTGTAAAAATGAGTGTAATATTTAAAACATAGTCAAGTATGCCTGCAGTCATTACCAATTATAGTAATTGCCTAATAATTGTTTCCCTGTAATCAGTTACTTAATGGCTTCAGGCCTGTAATATTGTGGGGCTTGGGTTAGAGAAGGTGGGGAGCAGCAGGGACTGGGGATTTTTCCTGAAATTGCTTGGATCGAAAAGCCAGGATGTAATTGATGCATAATTCATCTCTCAGTTTTATGGCTAATTGAATGTTGGAGGATCACATAGGTGACAGGGCACTGCAATGCTTCTTAAGGACAGATAGGAACCACAGTATGAAACAAGTTGGGGTGTGGAA